GTGATTTTTCTCCTGTTAATATGGAGGCTTATACTGAATGATACCTCAGAGAGTGAAACAGCCTGCGTCCCTGGAGTCCAGGCCTCTTGGTCCTGGCATAGAATTATTTCTTTTTATATATGTAGCTGGATTCTATTTGCTAATATTTTGCTAAGGATTTTTATGTACATATAGTCATAAGTGATGTTTAATACACAAAATGAATTGGAAAGTGTCTCTTTTCCATTGTAGAGTTGGTAATTCATTAAATGTTTGATGGGAACCTCGAGTAGAACCATCTGGGCATTGTGCACATTTATATTCATAAATATAATTTATGAATTATATGATCTATATTATATAATTTATAAATTCGAGTTCATCCTCATTACAATCTTGCAAAGAAGGCATTTTAAAAATATGGAACTTAAAGCTCAGAGAAATTAAGTGCCTGGCCCAAGGTCTAAAAGTCTTCTTATCCCAAGTTCAGTGTCATTTCCAGTATTCCACAGTTCTGGGTTTGTCTAGGCAGACTTTTCAGGCATTTGAAATCTCTTTGGGAAACAAGGAAAGAGAATCATTGGATGTGTTCCCTGTCACTTTTGTTTAGCTGGGTGCCAGTTCTTTCTTGCTTGACATGCCTTTCAAGGTAGAGAATAACAAGACAACTAGCAAACTGCAGAGTTTAAACCTAGGATTCTCAGTACAATCTTATAAAGGCACAGTCTAAAAGATGGATGCTCCTTGCATGGCTGTGATGTGTCCCGCTGAAAAGCCCAGGGGCAAAACAAGACAAAAATATCTGGATAGAGGAGTAAATCCTGCTTTCTGGGTCCCTAAGCATTTTCTGGAAAGTTACCAAGGGTCATCTCCCTTATCTACCCTCATCACCCACATCAAAATTTCCATCTTGGAATGATTATCTCTGTGTGTGTGTGTGTGTGTGTTACAGATCTGGGATTGAACCTTGGTCTTCTAGGCAAGTGCTCTGCTACAGAGCTACACACCCCATGCTTTTTTTTTTTTTTGAGATGGGATATCACCAAGTTGCCCCGGCTGGCCTCCATCTTGTGATCCCCATGGCTCAGCCTCCCAAATCACTGGGAGCACCAACATGTACCACCACGCTCTGCATTTTTATCTCTTTTAAAATAGGTCTTTGACACCCTAGACATTTTTCACCACTTTCACTATGCCTTCTGTAAATTTTTCTTCCAACTCAGAGCATGTCACATCCCTGTTTGATAGCCTTCAGTGATTCCCTGTTGTCCTTAGAGGCCAACTATATAGTTGGTGTCTATGTATGTCTATGGTTCTCAAACTTTCCAGAACAGGAGAATCACTTGGGAAAAATTACTTAAAAATGCAAAATGTTAAGTCCCAACCTCAGACTCTGGTTCAGTTAACTCTGGATTTGGGACCTCAAATCTGCATTTCAGTGTCCAACTTCCAGGTGATTCCCATGCAAATAGTGTACAAAATACATATGATGCAATAGTTATCCTGGGTAAAGTTCACACCCCTTGACCTGCTTTCCGGGTCCACAGCAATCCAACTTTCTCAGCCCACAGCACCCTTACCTTGCTCCCTGCTCCCACTCCGAGAAGACCAGCCACAGCCCAACCATCATGCTGAGACTAAACCTGTTGGGGAGCCCGCTTTTCACTGTGCAATTTCTGCACATCAGCTGGAACTCTTCACTCTACTTAGAAGACTCACCTTCACTCTGCCTACTGAAGCCCTGTCTTTCTTCAAGGCCAAATTTTAATTAGTCTACTTTTTCCAAGAAGTCATTCTCGGCTCCCCAGGGGAAAATTCCTTTTCTCCTTCCTCTTAGCGTCTCAACGATGGCACACAGTAGTTCAGACTATAGCTTTGCCACCCACTGATAGGTCATGACCAGCTTTTTATTTAAATTTATGATTATTAGACTAAGAATACACTGGAGAATAACAACGCCTAGTACAATAATGAGGGTCTTGTATTATATTCCAGTTAAATATACATATGTATGTTTTGTGTCCTGATTTCAACGCATCCCAGACTGTAGGTCATAGTAAAACAAGAACGTTGAAGGCCACTGCTGTAGCACTCATCCAATTCAGTCTCGTTAGAACCATCAGGATGACTTTCTGTTTCCCCGTTATGTGAACCTTTGAAGAATAATAAATAAAGTTCTCCTCACCCTCACATTCCTGTAGCATCTGTCAGGGAGTTTTGTGATCAATAAACATTTACTAAATTGAATTGAACTGCATGATCACAGAAACTCTTCTGGATTTAACTCTTCAGGGTTGTAGGGTTGGGGTGATTCCTTTCAGAAACTGTCTCTTTTCAAGGCAGGGAAGGTTGGAGCATTGCCTGGAGAGGGGGTTCTTTGTCTTGTCCAGGAAAAAGACAGCTTCTAAGGCAATTCATTGGTACAGTGGATTTCCCTGAGAATTCTGAAGCGAGGTCTGAGGAATGGAGTGGGCGGTTCTCTGGACAAAGAAAGATGACTCAGCAGAAGGACACCCTAAAGAAGCAAGAATAGGGGCAGGCAGATCCATAAGTGTTCTGGGTGTGAACATTTGATGAGCATCCACTGCTCAATAAAGAAGTCACTCTGCTGAGTGCTTAAGAACCAAAGGAGTCTTTAGCCTGGGTGACAAACTGGACCATGCTTGGACTACAGTTGTGTTTTCTTAAACCTTCCCAGTGCTTCCAAAGGCAGTGTCACTGTCCGACCTACGTGAAGCTACATGCAAATCATTTCATGCTCAGCTTGCTTCTCACTCCTGTGTTAATTGCACATCTCTTTGAGCCTGAGTTGGGAATCTCTTTCCTACTGCAAAGAAGAGCCCTGTCTTTGAGGAACTCAAGAGAAGAGAAGTTGGGTCAACATCTTTCAGAGACAATTTCCAGGCCCCTGGGACTGAGTGCATAGGAAGTAGGAGGGCAAAGTCCAGAAGAGGGGACATAGGACCGAGAAGGCAGACTGGAGTGGAGTAGAGCAGGGCTTCTAGTGAAGTGCTTGGGTGAGGAAACAGTAAGGAGAGGACACTTTTTGGAGGGAAGGGCGAGTAAGGAAGTCCTGGCTGATTGCAGAAGAGGACCTGTGACAGCCAAGGGCCAGATGCACATGACTGGGATGTGAAGAGCCAAGAGAAGGGAAGATGGGCTGTGGAATTCATTCAAATATCAGAGGAGTTTAATTACAAGGCCTTGAACTTGGCCTCAGCATAAGACTTGGAAACAAGTGAAATAATATTGCTCTTTTAAAAAGCAAATGTGACACAACTATTAGAATAGCTAAAACCCATAAACCCAACAACATGAAATGTTGATGAAGACATGGAGCAACAGGAACTCTCATTCACTGCTGGTGGGATTGCAAAATGGTACAGCCACTTTAAGACAGTTTGTCAGTTTCTTACAAAACTAAACATACCCTTAACCATATGATCCGGGGCCACATTTTAGATGTTTACCCAACTGAATTAAAAACTTATGTCTACACAAACACCTGCACATGAATGTTATACCAGCTTTATTTATAATCATCCCAAACAGGAAGCAACTAAGATGTCTTTTTGGCAGATTGATGGGTGAACAAGTAGAGGTGTATCTAGATAAGGAAATACTATTTAGTGATAAAAAGAAATGATCTGTGAAGCCCTGTAAAGATATGGAAGAAATTTAAATGCATATTGCTTAATGAAAAAAAAGTCTAAAAGGCTTTGTATGATTCCAACTATATAGCATTTTAGAAAAGGAAAAATCTCTAGAAAGGTTAAAAAAAAATCTGTGGTTTCCAGAGGTTGAGGTGAGAAGGAGGGACAAATAGATGGAGCAAAGCAGCTTTTCACTTATTTAATGATACCCTATATGATGCTATAATGGTGGTACATACAGAGCTCTATAGCACAGAGTGAATCATGAACAATAGTTAACAATATGTTAGTATTGATTTGTCAGGTGTAGAAACACTCTATCCTAGTACAAGATGATCAATATAATGAGGGACGCTGTTAGGTGAGAGGTAAAAGGAGGGCGGAATATATGGAATTCTATATACAATCTGCTCAATTATTTTGTAAATCTAAAACTGTGCTCAAAATAGTCTCTCTCTCTCTCTCTCTCTCTCTCTCTCTCTCTCTCTCTCATTTTTTTTTTAATCAAGAGATTTCACATTGAAAGAGTAAAAAGAAGCAAATGTGGTGGGATTTATTTTTAGGTGTTAAGAGAACCAGTAAGGCAGTCCTGGAGAATGCTCGTCAAATGCTCAGCTTTCACATCCACATTCCTTCACTGTAAGATCCCCATCCTTTCTCTGAGATGCAAGCTCAGAGAAAGATACAAATCCTGTTGGGATTTGTATAAGGAGCCCCCTAGGAAGCAAAATATGGCTAGACTTTCAGCTCCTTCCTAGTTTGCTGAGCTTTGTCATGAAAATACAATTGAGCTTGTCTGATAAATTTGGATAAGCAATATCACATTCCTTCCAAAGGAAAAAAGACTTTTCTCTGGCCATTTTTTTTTTCTCAGCCAAGGGTAATGACGGTGGACTTGCAATTCTCCATAATTATGTGAAAGGCCCTTTACATTTGTTTTGGTGGTTTTTCTCTTCTTAGTAACTAGATGAAGCAATCAGCATGTCTTTCATATCATAAGGAGCCCTTTTCCCCCTTTCTTTTTAAACTACTGCTTCTCATTGGAATTTCTGCAAGTGACAATAGAGGTAAATTCCAACTGTCTCTCTAGTGGCTCTTAATGAGGTGTTTGTTTTAAAGCCCTCCTTGGGCTCCTCTGACAGAGAACCTTTAAAACTGGATTAATCCTCTTGAGTTCTAAATCCTTTCGCTTCAGGGGCTTCCATAACCTTTTGAATTACCAGCATTTTGCTTTGAAAGTTGACACTTCCTATTTAAATGGCAAGAAATAAGCCTTAGCAGTAGAGAGCTGAACATATTGATTTCAATTATCACCTTTAATCCACACCTTTCCTCTTTGTCACGTGTGATTTTTCTTCTCTTAATTAGAAAGAGCCAGGGATTATCTGCACAAAACTGGAAGGTTTATTGTGATTGGCGGGATCGTCTCCCCGGTCCACGACTCCTATGGAAAACAGGTGGGTCCCTTCCTTTGCCCTGCCCTCTGCTCCTTCACCCCACCCCTCTCACCTGATTCCTCCTCTGGATAAAACTGCCCCCATGGTCTGCGATGCTAAGATCCTTGAAAATGCAAAATACTCGAATACAGAGTCCCGTCTGAGTCCCCCTTGTCTCAGGACATCAGTTAGACCTGAATGAGTGGGTGTTGGGGCAGCAGCTGGGAGCAACTGCTGCCAGAGACAGGCAGCCACACACAGTGCCATGCCCAGACAGAGCTCATTAGAGGAGGAGCAGGCATGCCCGCGTGTTGTCACTTGGCCTCAATGCCAAATTGGCACCTGGTTATGGGTTGAGCAGCCCGGGGCAAGTCTTTGTTGGGATTTTAGGAGAAAACAGCCCATGCCTTTAAAAATCTGATTTAAAATTCTTTTGCCTGCCCCTACCTTCCTGTGTCACTTTTCCTGGTCATTCCTCTTCCTCCCACAGATACACGTGGTAGGCGCTGGGGGAAGCCTCCTGTGCTGCCGGACTGTGCCATAAGACCAGGCTGAGTTAGGTCTCCCCTCTGTGCAGGGCACACTCCAGCTGCCTCAGAAACCGTAGCTTATCCATCAGCCTGGTTGGGCTGGTACCCTCCCACATCCATCTTCCTTTTTCCTTCCCCTCGCCACTCCATGCCTGTCTGTGGGGCAGATGGACAAGTAAAGGGGTCACAGCTCTCATTCCCTCTCACCACCAAAAACTGGTGGCACTTCGGTAACGGGCTGGCTTGGGCTGCCGTTCCAGGGGTGCTGTGGGGAACAGAGGGGCCTCCCAGTGACTGCTCTGTTGCTTCCCAGGGCCTCGTGTCTAGTCGACACCGCCTCATCATGTGTCAGCTGGCCGTCCAGAACTCCGACTGGATCAGGTAGGGCTGGCCGCAGGGGGCCGGGCAGGCCCTGAGCTCACTGTGGGTGGGGCTGGGAAACAGGAAGAGCCCGGCAGTACTTTGGACCCCAGGAGGGCAGGGCGGTGGAGGGAGGCTATCAGCCATGGACAGGTCATAGGCAGGTAGACCTCCAGGGGTGGCCCAAGCGAGAACTTTAGTTTTGCCCTCAGCGGTCGAGATTTTGAAACTACAGAGGGAACTTTTAAGACACATCGGCTTTGGCACATCTGGATTCTGGTGTGATTCTTAGAGCTTCCATAAGCATCACTGGGTTTTGGGGGAGACCTGGCCAGAAATATCCCCAATACCCCCCCCCCCACTTTCAGTCCTGTTCACTTCCAGTAACTCTCATTTCCTTTCGGGAACGTTCCGTGCCCTTGGCAATTGCCCATTCCCACCCTCTCTCCCTCCGGGACCCACACTGACTCCCGGACAGAGGTGTGGGACCTGTAAGCATTGCCCTGAACAGTGTTCAGACTAAGTCAGACTCAGAAAGCCTTTCTGCTCCTCGCTTTTCCCAGTCAGACATGCCCCTAAGATGGCAGTGTTCCCCTGACCCCATCTGCCGAGCTTGCAGCATAATTAAAGCAAGCTTCCAATAATTATGCTAATTATTCTCCCCTAAATTCCTACCGCTATCATTTGCATGAGATGATGATGTTTTTTAAAAAGTCGCAGCACACCATTTGTGCTCTGATTTCCCCTGTGGGAAGACAAGCAGCACCTCAAGGTCTCCACGAAAGGAGGAAAGTGATGGGAAGCTGAGCTCAGACGAGGGGGGCAGAGTCAGCCCAGGAGGGACAGTGGGCGGCCAAGGGAAGCGACAATAATGACTAAACGGTGGTCCTGGCCACTGGAGCGCAGTGAATTGTGTGAGAAGCATGTGCCCTTTATGGACTTTCTCACCCCCCTCGAGACACAGGTAGGTAGAAAGACAGCTGCTCTTTCTCAGATGGGACACAAGCCAGGAGAAGTCAAAGGGCCTGAGCGATAGTCCCTCTGTGGTTGAGTCAGGATTAGAAATGAGGCTTCTCCAGATCTCCCAGGGAAATGGAGTCCAATAGGGAAAACATGAAGCAGGAGGCTGTTCCTGTTTGGATACGCTTAGAAGATTCTGGAATAATTTCCTTATTCATTCAGTAAATATTCACTGGGTGCCTACTGGCTGCCTTACACTGTTCCAGGCACTGGTTAAATCAGAATTGAAATCACCACCAGAATTGAGATCACCAGGGAGTCTTAGAGCAAGCTCTAGAGATGGGAGCTGGCAGGCCCCCAACCCAGGGAGCCTGAGTAGCCAGGTCAAGTGTCTGGTCATCTCTGGCACCTTGTGCACCCAGAACAGGGAGGGGGGCTGGGGATCTGGGAGGAACAGGCTCTGGGCAAAACCCTTTCATAGCTTTCAGTTAGTGTGATCTCATCTCTGAAAACCTGAGGTGTTGTGTGCATGGTAAGGGGTGGACAGGGAATGCTCAACTGCTAAGGAAATGTTTGAGAAATATCCCAATTTAGCAGCTCATTAAGTTGGCAATTAAGCCCGAGAGCCACATCAGTCTGCTTACCTCACCAGCTAGCGCGCAGGAGGGGTGACTTTAGGCCTGAGCCTAGGCCTGGTCTGACTGCTGTGCCTCATGCCCAGGCCTGCAAGGTACCCCAGTGCTCAGGGAGGCAGACCCAGCTGATGCTCCAGGATCTTACCTGCCTGGCAAGGGAAACCAGAGCCCCCATCAAGTGGGGGCTTAATCTTTGTCACAATCCTGCAGGATTCAGAGGATTGGCTTTTGTAAATAAGAGCAAGACACTCCACTAAGTACTGTACATATAAAATTTACTAAGTCCTTCTAGCAAAACCATAAGATAGTTGCTACTGTTATTCCCATTTTATAGATGGGAAAATGAGGCATTGAGAAATCACCTACCCAGCTGGAAAGGCTGAGGCTGGGGATTTAACCCAGGCAAACTGTCTCCAGCATCTTTTCTCATAAGCTTATACCAGACTCCTCTCACTTCACAGAAGAGGAAGCTGAGGTCAGTTTCACGCCCAGGTTTTATCTGAGTAGAGATCTAAGCCCTTGATGTGACCAGCTTTGCCCCCTGAGCTATGGTGAGCCCCTGAGCTATGGAGGGAGGAAAGAGCGTGGAAATGGAAACTCTCTCCATGTTAGGGTGGACCCGTGGGAGTGCTACCAGGACACCTGGCAGACGACATGCAGTGTGTTGGAACACCATCGGGACCTCATGAAGGTGAGCCGGGCCCCAGCCAAGGGGCGGGTGGACTACGGGGAGACAGGGGAGGGGCTGTGCCCACAGAAGCCAGGCATCAGGAACAGGGACTGCTGCCTCCTAGCTGAAGAAGGCTTCCTCCTTCTCTGCCGGCTGTAAGAGGGGCCAGCCAGGGGGTGGGGGTGGCAGGAAGGGAAGTGGTGAATTAGGAAGGAACCCGGAGCAGCTCAGGGGGGCTCCCTGCCTTCCACCCTCTAACTCAGCCTCCCATTTGGATGTGACATGATATTGTTGCTGCTGCGTGTGACTTGGGCAGCTTTCAACAACTGGGAGCAAGTTCAAGGTGGGATAAGGAGACCACAGCTGCAGGACTACAGAAAGCGAGGAGAAGGGAAGGCTAGGCCGAGAAAGGCAGAAGAGAGGTGCTGGAGCTGGTTTGGGCAGCCAGGCCCTCTGCTCCATCCTCTGCTCCATGGGTCCCCTTACTCCAGGGAAGGGGCTGCAGCCGGGCACCACACACCTGCTGGCCATTGTGCCGTCAATCCCATTCATTGCTCCTCACAAAGCCTCAGGGCAGATGGTGTCTGATCCCTGCTTTATTATCTGGTAAAAGGAAGCCCGTGTACCTGAGGTCACACTGTGAGTGCCCAGTGAGCACTGATGGATGATAACTCCCATATTCCTGATTGGAGCCCGGGGCCTGCGTCTGGGGCCTGTGTGTATCTGGGCTGCAGACTCAAGGACTGGCTGCCAGGTTAGAGTGGGCCATCCACAGCCAGCAGCACCGACAGTGTGCACAGAAAGCACCCGTCCCAGATCAATACCAACCCATCGATCCCACAGTGACAAGATGAAAATGGCACCGTCAGTGGCAAGAACCTGATGAACCAAGATGACAAACCATAAATTGGGCTCTGTCCCCTGACTCTGATGTAGAGCCCTCCTAGGCCCACACCACCATCAGCAAGCTGTGGTTCCCATCTGGGAAGAGCCTCCATCACATTCCATCCCATCTTGGCCTTTCACTGTCTTCTCCTTGGGGAGCACCCCCTGACCCCCTCACTCCACCAGAGTGAGCTTCCTTTTACTAGACATGAAGCTTTAAGGCTCCAGACCATCCTGGGGAGCACAGCAAGAGAAGTAGGGAAGCCAACTGGCTGTTGCTCCATCTATTAAGCCCACCCCCCCTTGGAAGTGAGTAGAACTGATATCCTTTCTATCCACTTTTGGAACTCTTCACACACATCCTGACTCTTTCCTGATTTCCTTGATAGGTCTCTGACACAGAGTCACCCTGACATGCTCCTCTGTGCTGGCCTCAGCAATAGAAATAAAAGACACCCCATCTTACTGCATAAGGACAGGTCAGTCAGGATAGGCTAAGATACGCTGAAGTGACAGGCATCCCTACATTCTCAGTGACATCAGACAAACTTATTTCTCACACTCCATGCCAGCCTAGGGGGGTGGTCACCTGGAGGTCTGCTCTCCTTCTAGTCACAGATGCCTCAGGATCCATGACAAGAGGGAGGAATCAGGGGACCTTGCAGGCATTTCTTTTCTTTTCTTTTCTTTTCTTTTCTTTTTTTCCTATGAGCCAAGCACTCATCAAAAAAAAAAAAAAAATTTGATGAGTTAACATCAGATTATTTATTTTGCTTACTCAAAATAAGGACAAGGGAACTTCACTATTTCGCCAGTTGAGAATGGCTGTTCTCCCTCCAATCCAGATTTCTCTTGGAGGACCAGATGTGTCAGCTTGGTTTGATTGACTCCATGTTGTTCCCCCACCCCCCCCTGGAATATTGTCTCTGTTGAAAAACTGGCTTCACAAAGAAGGTGGCAGCAGGAAAATTTCAGAATCCAAAGCTTAAAAATAAGTCTTGGGCAGTGTGGGGTTATTTTCTGTCTCTGGGAGGGATCATCCGGTGTCTGAGGCCTGGAGACAGAGGCAAAGTCCCCAGCCGCCCATCCAGGAGATGTCACTCTCAGTAGTGTCTGGTGTCCTGACCTTTGCTCGCCCAGGATGACAGTGGGTAAGGAGCAGCAGGTCACAGGGGCCCCCTGACCCTCTGGGAGACAGAGCTCTCCCTGGGCAGACCCCAGGGCTGAGGGTCAGCGGCCAGGGGAGAATCATGTCAACGTCTCCCCGCCTGTGGTCCCTGAGGTCCTGGGGCAGGGATGCAGGAGACAGCTAGTGTCATAAGACGTCCCCATCCCCAGCAAGGTTGGGCGCCTGGCTAAGCGAGGAGAAAGTTGGTGTTCCTCCTCAGGGCCTGGCCCCTGTGCTTGGCACCGCCTGGAAGGGGAGGAAGTGACACCCAGGGGAAGGCTGGGAAGTGAGGCCACCATCGTCACATTCAAGTTCAGGGTGCTAAAGCTCAATCTACCCCCCAACAGGCCCCATACTTAGCTCCCCTTCATGGGCCACGTCCCTTCTGAGAGTCAAGCCATGCCCTTTATAGGCACAAGGACCCAGAAGTTCCAGGGACACGTCCATGTTTAGGCCCTCGGATCCAGATCCAGAAGTTTCAAAGGTGCACATCCATGTTTAGGCACCTGGATCCGGAAGTTCCTTGGGCGCACATCCATGTTTAGGCCGTAGCATCCAGAAGTGCCTCAGGTACACATCCATGTTTAGGCCCCCAGATCCGGAAGTTCCTCAGGTGCACATCCATCTTTGGGCCCTCGGATCCGGAAGTTCCTCAGTCCTCCATGTTTAGGCTGTGGCATCCGGAAGTTCCTCAGGTGCACGTCCATGTTTAGGCCCCTGGATCCGGAAGTTCCTCAGGTGCATGTCCATTTTTAGGCCCCCAGACCCTGATATTCCTCAGGTGCACGTCCATCTTTGGGCCCTCGGATCTGGAAGTGCCTCAGGCGTCCATGTTTAAGCCGCAGCATCCTCCTTGCAGGCATTTCTGAGCGCTGGTCATAGTTGTGGCCATTAAGCCTGGCTGCTGTTTTGTTGTCCAAATGACCCGGCTTCCTGGACACTCCCTCTTTTACTCTTGCCCAAAGCATGAGTCTGGACCAGAGAAACTCAGCCAGAAGCCCCAGCTGCTTCTGGCTGATGGGCAGAGGCTGGCTGACCATTTAGGTCACAGATGGTCCCCTGCTTTGGAGCAGAAGCTTGGAGCCGCTTCCCAATCCCCCTGAGCCTTCCCAGTTGTGGTGTGAGGCCAGTGCTCCTGGCATGGAGAAGAGATGTGCCAGAGAGACAGGCGCTCAGGGCTGTTTGGAGAGGTCTCTGAGCCACTGGGAGTTGAGAAGGGCGGGGGCGGCACATACCGTCAGCCATTTTCTTCTCTGGGAGAGAGCAATTCAGTGGGGTTTGTCCAGCAAGAGGGAGAAATTCCTCAGCTAGTTAATAACCAGACCAGTTATTAAATGAGAAAATGTGCCACTTTCTTTTCTGGTGGTAAAAGAATAACAAAAGGAGGCAGACCACGCCTCCTACTCCATCAGCACAGCTGGGCAGAGAAACCCACAAAGCAGACTGAGAAGATCTGAGTCCACAGCCCCAGCTGGCTCCCAGATGGTGGCTGCATGCTGCTGTGACCTTTGCCTATGAGGAGCATGACAAAAGTGACAGGTTCCCCCACAAGACACAGGCTGCTTTTCCAGGGCCCAGAAGGACTTGCGAGCCATTCTGCCTGCAGGGTGGCTGTAGAAGAGGTGCTCAGACTATCATCCCAGCCCTGGAACTCGGGGATCCTTTAACACTGCAGGACTCTGATCCAGAAAGGGTGGTGGGCGGGAGTGGGTGGTAGGCACCATCGCTCTCCAGATGCTGCCTTCAGGGGAGGGACCCTGAGTAAACAGTGGCCCTTGTGAAGCTAAGGGACTGAATACTGGTCCTTTGTTTCTGCTGCACCATAGCTGGTCTCCCACTCACTCTGGGCGAGGGAGGGTTGCTTCTGGGTCAGCTGTGAAGAATGCTGTGTGATCAGCTCTACGTTTTCTGCAGCCCTGGGGAAAGCAGCAGGCCTGATAGCACAGGATAATGAAGAATACACATCGAATTTCCGCTTGGCTCTGGAATGTGTATTCACACCGCTGAACAGGCCAGAGAGGGCTCAGAACCCACCCACTCGCTTCCTGCAACACGAACACAGCCCATTCTGCCTGGCGCTGCTCTCTCGCTTGGCTGTGTTATTGACATCTCTGGCCTGAAGAGGCTGCAGGTGGCCATAGTACCTCGTGTTTGCATGACCTTTCCCAAGCTCACGGAGCCCTTTTGCAGACATGATCTCATCTGAGCCCCATGAAGCAGGCAGGAGGGCCAATATTCGTGAGACACAGAAGGTTGTCCTTTCGGCTGACGCTCACAAAGTTTCTGTCATCTGTCAAGGACTCCATAGGCACAATGCATGTGCTCAGTAATCCTACGACAGTCAAAAAGGCAGGTAAATTGTTAGACTTGAGTTGAGACTCAGGACAGATGAAGTAACTGTCCAACGTCATGTAGCTCAAGGGAGGCAGAGCTCAGATTTGAATCCATGTTTGTATAGTGATACATCCCATGCTTTTCCCTCTGAGCGTCCCTGTCACCTGACAGCCTAATGACCACATGGTGCAGTTGGATCTAGAACCGATGCCCGGGGCTCTCCCTCAGCTCTGCGTACTGTGATGGACAAACTGATGACCATTTGGAGATAACTGGGAAACGCTTTTCAAAGTCACTTAGCTAATGTCACAGACCCAGTCCTTCTCCTTCTCCCTAGAGGGTGACCGGTTGCATCCTCTCCAATGTCAACACACCTTCTATGACACCTGTGATCGGACAGCCCCAACATGAGACCCCCCAGCCCATTTACCAGAACAACAACAACGTGCCCGCCAAGCCCACTGCAGGTAGGAGAATGTTGGTACAGTTCGTTTCAATCTTCAGAATCACTTAGAGGGCGCGCTAAAGCACTCACAGCGGGGCCCGACCCAGAATTTGATTCAGTAGGCCTGGGAGAGGGAGGAGGATTTGTATTTTTAATAAGATAATGCTGATGCTACTGGTCCATGAACTGTGCTTTCAGAACTGTTAATAGAGAGCATCACCATTAGAGAGAGAGAGAGAGAAAGAGAAATGATGGTGTGCATTCTTCTTGTGCATTTAAATAGAATTACATTAACTAGAAATTAAATATACAAAAGGGAGCATTTTTCTCTGCCTCTGCCAGGGAGGTCGAGGGTCTTGCACAAGGTCACACGGTGAGGAAGTGGCAGGGACAAGATCCATACCCAGGCACTTTTAGTCACTTCATTAGACAGAGAACAAAGGCCACCAGCACTTACTCACCACCAAATACTGTGTGTCTGAATAGTGCTCAGAGCTTTCTATATGTTCTCATTTACCGCAGTGATTCTACCCACAGGTGCTATATTCCCATTCACTAATACAAAACAGAGATTCACAGTACAGGTTGCTGATTGCCTAAGGTCGAAGGGCTAGAGTTCATACTAAGTACTGTCAGGCTCCAAGGTCCACACTCAAATTATTCTTCTAGGCAATTCCAAGAGTCAGATGCTACGGCTTTTCAAGCCTAGGGATCATAAGCTGTCGTATTTTGGTCTATCATAAACTGGGTAATTTGCAAAGAGTCAGAATCTCAGTTTGCATACAGCTACTTGTGGGGGCTCAGAAAAAATTTCTGGACTGGAGCCCAGAGAGATAATTGAATACCAGATCTCTCTCAGCCAGATGAGATTTGGGTGTTACTTACTGTCCAGTGGACAGAGCCTGTCCTAAGGATAGACTCATGACAAACCCAGCGAGGAAATGCTCATGATATAAAAATGAGAAAAGCCAATAGCGTAAATACCCTTTAAATGTAGCATCTGTCCACTTATGTCGACACACCTGCAAACATACATTTTAAAAATGGAGGAAAATCATCACTACACCAATGTGTTAGTGGTGATTATCTCTTGAGGTGGGATTAGGGCTGCTTTTTGTTTCCCTCTTTATATATTTCCCTCTTCTAAGTTTTCCAAGTTTTCAAAACTGTAATGACCATGACTAGGAAATAGATTCCAGTCTGTGGCTCACCATGCTTAGGCGTTGTGTTCACCTTGGACTGTGAACAAGAAGATGGAACTTTTGTTGTGATCTTTCTGTTCTTTCTCTCCACCCTCCTCCTGCCTTCCGCTCCCAGCCCCACCCCCTCCAGTGCACCCCTCCTGTTGACAGTGGGCCCCAAGTGTAAGTTGTGAGTGGTTCTCTCCCTCTGTCCCTGTCTGTCTTGCTCTCTCCCATAGCCAAGATCTTGGGGAAGGTGGGAGAAAGCCTCAGCCGGATCTGCTGTGTCCGCCCACCCGTGGAGCGCTTCACCTTCGTAGGTAAGGAAGCCATGGTCTTCCTTTCCCGTCCTGTTTCCTTTCTCTCCTCCCTTCGGTCATCAGCAAATACCCAGGAGCACCTATGCTATGATCTGAATGTCTGTGTCCCTCTAAAATAGATAACATTGAAATTCTAACCCCCAAGGTGACAGTTTTAGGCAGAGGGGCCTTTGGAAGATGATTAGGTCACAAGTGGAGCCCTCATGAGTGAGATTTCTGCCCTTACAAAAGAGGCTCCATCGTGAGGACACGGTGAGGGGTGCTGTTCATGAACCAAGAAACACGTCCTCACTGGTCACCACATCTGCCAGCACCTTGATCTTGAACTCCCCAGCCTCCAGAACGGTGACAAATACATTTCTGTTGTTTGAAGCCACCCAGTTTATGGCATTTTGTCATAGCAGCCTGAATAGAAACCAAGACAACTTATGGTCGGGTGACCATTTATAGAGCAATGGTTGGAAGAGGTGAGCAGGACTATTCCAGGCTCACGGTGCCAATCTGTGATGGGATCCCAAAAGGCATGGCCCCCTGGTCTTGCTGCCTGGGCAGATTTCATGGCCTTTGCCCTCCTCCAGGCTGTGCTCATTCCTTATCCCACACCCCACAGAATGTGTCTGTACACCTGAAGGGTTTTGATCAAGAAACTGTCCACAGGTCAGAATCTGCCCCTGGCTGGCAGTGCCTGTCCTACCAAGAGGCATGAGCTTTTCCCTTCAGCTCTGTCTTTTTCCTGTTTTTCCTGTTCCCCCAAAGCTCCTCATGGAGGAGAGTATCAGAGTCCCTGGGGCTTTCTTCTGAAAACCCCCAATTTAACTGCAGATCCTAAGCCCCGGACTTTGTTCCCTTTTTTCTTTGGAGCTGACTTCCCCCATTTCTGAGGTTTCTAGTTTCAGGCTTGGTGAAAAAGAACTCAAGGATGATCGAGGAGGCGGGGAGGCATGGGTGAGATAGCGTCACCCCAGAGGCTCTACTTTCACATCTTGCTGGGTGCTGTCACTAAGCTCTGCCACACAAAAATGTCAATGTCCCCATGTTTCCTGGCTCTTTAAACCAGGTAGCCCTCAAGGAGGAGGGCAGCCTCCTGTGACTCCAAAGCTGTCCCCCTAAGTTTTGAGGCTACTGGTTTGGGGAGCCTCCGTAAGATACTGCGTGTGCGCAGGCACCTTCTCATCAATGGTTCCCAGGAAGTGGTCTCACTCTGAAAATCCCAGAAATATGAAGTCCTGCTCGGGGAAGGGAAGGACACGCTCTCTGTCCATTGTGGGCCAGCACCAGCCTGGGCTCCACTCTCTCCTCAGATGCCCCTGTGTAAGGAGGCATGGTCCCCCCATCCCATCCCAGATGCTCCTATCCAAGAGGGTCTCCCTCCCTGATGTCTCTGTGCCCCTCTTTCTTTCCTCCTCAGATGAGAACGCCAATCTGGGCACCGTGATGCGGTACGAGGAGATAGGTGAGTGGGGGGTGCGAAAATGGGGCACTGGGGCCACCTGCATCCACGAATGGCACCGTGGGGAGGACAGAGACTTGCAGGGTTTGCAGGAGGATCTGTTCTCAAAAGAGTGCTCTTTCGCAGGCTGAGATCCCATTCTTACTTAGCTTCTCTTCAACATCTCCTGCCCAGACGCAGGCCAGTTCCCTGGAGGTAGGACTGGATCAAGTGGCAGTTTTCCTTCAGAGCCTCCCCAGCCTCATCTAAAAGAATGAGAGTTGAGCTTCAGTACCAGCCGAAAGGACCTTTCTCTTGCCCACAGACACCGCACACAATCAGGGCCCAAGAGTCACTGCCTTCCATATCAGAGGTTTTTAGTGCTTGAAGGCAGAGAAGGGGGGGGTGGCAATCACCTCTGCAGCCTCCCTGCAGCCCTGGGCTGGGCGAAGGCATCCCCCTGTCTCTGTGAGGCCCTGTGCCCAACCCAAAGCCAGAGCAGGCAGAGGGCAGTTGCACAGAGCTGCCAGGATGAGAAGGAACCTGTAAGTCGTAAAGTCACTCAGCAAACTAAAATCTCTCCAGGGTTCCACGGTGGGAGACACAGTGAGGGACCAAGTGCCTGAGCTGGGGAAGGGGGCAGTCAGTGGAGCTGGAGCTGGTAGAGGTCTCGGGTGACAGGGAGGGACAGTGACAACAGGAATGCCTGGATCTCTGGGATGAGAGGACACTGAATGTCCAACAAACACATTCAGTCTTAAACTTCCAGCTGAAAAGATTCTTTAGACATCTTCTGCTGCTGCTCTGCTCTCTCAGGGCCTAAGTGACAGCTCCTACTATGGTCCTGAAGCCTGGGGATGTACCTGAGATCCTCCGGGATCTCCTAAGAGGGCCAGGAGTTGTGGCATCATTTCAAGGTGCTTCTCTGGGTCTTGCTCTCTGATCAGATACACACTGGTGTGCCTGAGTTGGCTCACATTGGTTTGCTTGAACCATGTGAAAAATTTTAAGGAATTTTGCAAAACAATTATTAAACGGTATCGTTACTAAAAAAAGTAAGTTATAATAACTTACGGTTAAATAAATTGTATTAAAAACAAAGATGATGAATACTCCTCACTTCCTAATTATTTTACTATGCTTTAATATCTTTTACTCATCAATACATCGCAGTCTCAGGCTGCAGGAAGGAGCACCTGGCTTCCTTGGGTGCTCCCCTAAGCAAGCAGGGGAGCTTGACTCCAGGTTTGAGAGCCCCAGAGCATCCCAAAGCAGAGATGGGAGTGAAGATGTTCTACCTCCCTGCAGCACCCGGGCTCTGTATTGGGCCATCCTGCCCAGCTCAGGGAGATGCCCCTCCCCTGCAGAGGGCACCATGGCTGTGGGTGCATGCGTACACAGTGCCCTGCCGTTGCCTGTGCCTTCACTTTCATTAGCTCACAGTAGCCCTGTGAAAGGCAGAGGTCACCAGGCCCAAGTGCGGACTCTTCTCACCCCCAGCTGCATGGTGAGCCTGTAGTCACTGCCTGTAGATGGAGCTGGAGATGGGTCCTTAATCTCTGGCCACCCACCTTAGCATACCCTCTGCTCCCTGAGAGAGAAGGGGTCTGCCAGTATCTGACGGGAAGGCCGTAGGGGAGGAAGAACTCTTAGGTTCTGAGAAAGGAGAGCTGTGTCCACTACTGTCAGATGGACTCAAGGTGTGGCCCAGGTAGCCATTGCTTTGGGGTGCCCTGAGAGCCGGGATGGCCCACAGGGCCTGGTCTGCACATAGCTGGGATTCCTGGGCAGGGAGTGTGGAGGGAGAGGTCTCATCCTGGCTCCTGGTCCTGGATCAGAGTGAACTGGGGAAGGAGGCAGGGTTCAGCAGAGGAAGAAGGGAGCCACCCTGCCTCGGGCCCTGGGACTCACAAGGCCCGCTTTTTAAAATCCTCTTGCACACTTCACAAGGAAAAGCCATCTTCCAGCTCCTTCAGCACCTGTGATCCCATTTCCACATTCCTAACAGCAGGCTGCTCCTCCAGGGCTGCCCCAGGCCAGGGGCTCCTGGTCAGGAAACTGGAGGCTCGTCCAATAAACCGGGAGAAATCACTGCTGCCCTCCAGTGGTTGCACATGGGACTTCAACCCTGCCAGGGAGGCCTGTAGGTGACCTGCCAGAAAAGGCAAAGACCTCACTCTAACTATTTGGTGCTTTGACTCATGAAAATATCACACATTATACTTGGGTGAGAACGTGAGTCCCTGTCTTGGGAATAGGAAGATTCATTTTCATGGCTGTGAGCAGGGTTTTCAACCTTGGCACTACTGATGTTTGGGAAAACAATTCTGTGTTGCAGGAGCTGTCCTGGGCACTGTAGGGTATTCAGCAGCGTCCCAGGTCTCTATCCACTACATGAGAGGAGCAAACTCCTCTCCTTCCAAGTCTCGACCACCAAAGATGTTTCCAGACACTGCCAAATTGCTCTTGGCAATTGTAAAATTGCCCCCAGCTAAGAAGCACTGGTGTAGGGAAAGCCAAGACCCAGTGCATCCTCTGGATGTGGCCACTGAACTGAACCATCAGGCAGCCAGAGTTTCAGAGCCTCTGGTTTTCAACAGAGAACTGAGCTGGAACTCTGCATGGCTCCAGGGAACAGCAGAATTCCAGGGATGCACCCATCTGGCTCTTCTCCGCCATACCAAGCCCGGTCACCTCCACAGTGTGGGGAGATGGGCCAGCAAGTCCATGTGATGACATGGACAGGGAGATGCCACCAACTGGGCAAGCATTTCCCCAGGGGCCCATGCTGCAAGAGCGGAAGTACCATAGATAGGCACCAAGGCAGGTGGGGGAAGCTCCAGGCAGCCTGCATGGCCTCTGCGTCAGCTCGTTGTTGGCTCATTCACTCGCCAAGTCTGAGCGCCTACTGCATGCCAGTCACTCTATCAGGAAATATAAAAAATAAATTAAGATTCCTGCACATAAACTGTTCATTAGATTGCAGTACACAGGGAAAATGCAGGAATACTGAGGAGTTAAGATTCTAGCCCTCAGTGAGGTCTGCAGACTGCGCAGACCCTGGGACAATGAGATGCGATGCTGGCACCATCTGTTGTCAGCCAAGCAGCCTTCCACCTGCCTCGGAACCATCTGGATGCCTGTCCGCAGCAATGGAAAGTCCTTAGCTAGCTGTGGGGTCTAAGGAAGGCAGAGCCCTCAGCAGGCTTCTTTCCTGTCTCCTAGCCTCAAGTCCATGGTAGTAGCTGTCTTTGGAAGGCTGGTGGTGAGCTCAGAGTGGAGAGCTCATTAGACAAGAGGCCTACAGCCTTGGCTTTTTTTTTTTTTTTTTTTTTTTTTTAATACTTCAGGATTGAACCCAGGGGCACTTAACCACTGAGCCACATCCCCAGCCCTTTTTATTTTGAGATGGGGTCTTGCCAAGTTGCTTAGGGCCTTGCTAAGTTGCTGAGGCTAGCTGTGAACTTGAGATCCTCCTGTCTCAGCCTCCTGAGTCACTGGGATTCCAAGAGTGCACCACCTCACCCAGCAAGCTTGGTCTCTTGTCAGGAGGGTCTGGGCTGCCCGGGACCCACAAGCAGACACCACCCTGCACCACATCCTGGGCAGAGGGCTTTCCCCCATGGTGTTACAAGATTCCCTGGATTCTTTTTTCCCCATGGCTCAGTTTACTGCCTGTTTAAAAATGACAGTGGGTCTCACTGGGAGAATTCAGAGTGGGTTTAATGAGGGAAGGAAAACGACTGAGAAGCAGGAAGTCAGGGTGCTGGGAAGAGCCTGGGGAGTGGGGGGGGCGTCAGCCTCACTGTCCCCAGCCTTTTGCTGATGACAGTGGCGATGCCCATTGCTGGCCCAGTCTCTGCTAGGTCTCTTGGGGTGACCAGTCATTCTGGTTTAGCCCAGGAAGACCTGTGTTCTGGGCAGGTAGGGAGAGTGGGCCACCCTTGTGCTCCACTCTCCCCATGTGAGTAATCTCCTTGGGAGACAAGGATGGTCTGTAAATGAGCCCCAGCAGGAGGGAGGTTCCTGCACTGCTATACCTTGGCGCCGGGCTGCTGGGAGCCCTGGGCTGTGCAGCCCCCAGGGCCAGAGTGCGGGACGTCTGGGTTCATGAAGGAGGAAGGCGCAGCGGAGTACTCCCAGGCCTTCTCTTACTCCCTCTGCCAACTTTGCTCCCTCCTCAGAGCTGCGGATCTTGCTGCTGTGTGGCAGTGACCTGCTGGAGTCCTTCTGCATCCCAGGGCTCTGGAACGAGGCAGATGTGAGTAGCAGGTTCTGGGGCCCCACATACCTGGGATGGGGAGGAGACACTTGACTTCCGTCTTCCCTCCTCCAACTGGAAACGCTTGCCTCCCCTGAGCTCCCAAGAGGGCGATCCGGGCACATCCCTATGGAAGAAAATTCTCACCCACCCCATGCTAAGCTGCTCCTCGGGGTTGTTCCCATGAAGTGCCTGGGGAAAAGCATGGTGTTCAGAACACCATGCTCCAAGTGGTGCTTAGGGTGTGTGTAAGGGGGTGGGAAAGGGAAGGATCAAAAAAACCCTTTGCCCTTTGGAGATTGTAGTGTGTGTTTTATTTTCCTTTGATTCCTTCTGAAGAGGTCGTAAAATGCACCCCCTAGAATACCACTGATGAGAGAAAAGGGGTCAAGAGGGGAGATGATAATGGTAAAAGGTCAGGAGGATCCTCTGGCTATTGACTTGGAAAGAAGCAGTTAAACTTACCCCACTTAGAAGCTCTGGTTGAGATAATCTAACACCAGCCTGATTCATAAATTCCTCCCTTCTCACATGAACTCCTTTTTTCTCTTTCTTTTTAATTTGTCTGGTAGCCTGAGCCCATGCTAGCTCCAACCTCCAGCCCCAAGCAAATGGAATTACCAGGGCGGCAATTCCAGACTTAGTGTTTTTTTAAATGAACTCGCTGTGCTGTGTAAATCCTCCAGCTCCTCTGGTGAGGGAACCCATGAGGCCCCCGTTGCCCACAGCTCATATGCCAATCACAGAAATGATGAGTTTTGCAGGAATGGTTAATTAACGAGATAGCCAAATCTGAGGAGCAGGAGCCCCAAGTCTGAAAGAGTGTAGGGTATTTACAGGATAAAGAAGCAGGGTGGTGTGAGGCATGGTGACATCTTGGCCCTGTGGTGTCAAAAGGTCACCCATTGGACATCCATGCAAGCCCAAGTGGAGGGTCGGTGGGTTCAAATGGCTTGTGCTACCTACGAAAACCATGTAGACAACCATTTCTACATCAGAGGTGTCATTCATAGCAAAGCTATTAGGAGTGAACTGTTTAGCCTAGGATCTCTGAAACTGGTGATAGATGTCAGTAACTGAAACAAGTGGAGCTGGGGGGCTCATTCGGGGGTTCCCTAGGAACCTCAGTTATTTTTTATATCTGTTAAATCTATGGAATGTTATTGACAGCATTTTGAAATTTTAAAGAAATATGGGCTGGGGCTGGGGCTCAGCACTAGAGCGCTCGCCTAGCACGTGTGAGGCCCTGGGTTCCATCCTCAGCACCACATAAAAATAAATAAATGTATTGTGTCCAACTACAACTAAAAAATAAAATATTAAAAAAATAGACAATACAATCCCTGCCCGCAAGTCTTAGGAGGCATGACATATACATATGAAATCTTTTCCTGTACATTCATGTATCTCTGGAGAAAGAGACATAGAGGCAACCTTCAGGATCAGACTCAGATATCAGTCTACTCCACCACAGCTCATGACAAAATATATTCTGAGCTTCAGTTTTTCCCATCTCTAATAATAATAGGCATAATAATAGTACCTGCCTTGTATAGTTTTGGAAGTCTTAAATGACAGGGTCTATTTAAAGTGCCCAGCCCAGCACATGTCACCTAGCTGTTCAAGTTGAAGGGCACTGATGCTAATCTACACAGCCGTGGGATAGCCGAGAGAGATGGGAGGGTTCTAGAGAAGCCGATGATAGTCCTTTCACCTCCACCATGGAACAATTTCCTGCAGGTGAAATTTTAAACCTCCTTTCAGTTTTGGATTAAGTGGCTTAATTAGTTTCACTTTCTCCCTACTTCACAAGGTACTGTGAAAGCAATCAGCAGACCAAGTTCTGTGCAAGGTCTCAGCAAGGTCCTTCCATGCATCAAGGCAGAGCTGGGCAATGCCCATGGGGCCCCGAGCCATGGGGAGGCTGGCTCTCATGGAGGAATCTAGAAGGAGGCAATGGGCAGCCTGGACTGAATCCCGAAGGAAGCCTGGAGCTATTTGCTAAGAGTGACCTGTGGGAGCCTCCATGGCAGGCGCAGGCAGGCTTCCTGGATACCAACAATAAACTGGGCCCTTGCAGAGTGGCCCGTCTCTGCCTGCCCTCCAGTTAGATTGCTGCTGATGCGGTTCTCTTACTTGCCTCTGTGGCGGTGGGTGCTCTTGGTGTTGATGGAGCCCAGATTCGAGGACCAGGAGTAAGAGCCCGGGTCTCTCCTCTTCTGGTCGGTCCCGGGTGCTGAGATATCAGGGTTGAGTGGTTAATATGGAAAATCAGAGAAGCCAATAGCTCTTGATTTTCTAGGAATGTGACAGTGAAGGTGGAGAGTCCTCACCTATCCCAGTGTGTCCCCACTCTGTCACTTGGCCAGGTCCCAATCCCAACTTTCTTGCCTTTCTGGATTCCTAAGGAAAATCCTAGAATTTCAGCCCCTCGTGCTTGCTTGTATAAAAAGGGAAGGGGTCCTTCTATCTCATTCCCAATCCCCAGTCTGAGTTGGGTGATTTTGGAGCACCCTGTGAAAGCCAGGAATGGATAAGATAATGAACCAACAACAAGGTAGGTGATCAGCTCGTCCCAGTTTTAAAACTGGAAGTCCTGGAGGTGGGGTGCAGGTCAGTGTAGAGCACTAGCCTCTCATGGATTGATCCCCAGCACTGCAAAAATAAAACAAAGCAAAACTGAAAGTCTTACATTCTTAAAACTCCCTCAATGTTGGGCCAACTTGGATGGTTGGTCACCCTGGAGACCTAAGACATCCAGCTTGGCTACTCAGAGGACACAAGTGCCCCTCTATCTGTCCTGTCCAGGGTGGTGAGAATTTGGTGTTCTACAGCAGCAGCAGAAGGATCAGGATCAAGCAGCCCCTCACAGCGGGCCAGGGAGGACTTTCAGCCTCTAGCAGACCTGCATTCACTCCCCACCTGCCAGCCAATCGCTCATCCCCCTGACTCACCCACAGCCAATCCGTGAGGTCCTTAGAATCTCATTGCATTTGAGATAGAGGGAAAAAATATCCAAGGAGCCGTTTCCTTACATAATGTGTGTGAGTGACTCTCAGCCTGCAATTGAGGTATGCCAAAAATATCACATTCAATTCATTTAAGTCAAGTTAAAATTCCATTCCAAGTCCCTACGCTCAAGGATGGTAGAGGTTTTGTCTCATTCATGACTGATTAGCAGACCGGAGAGGCTCTTGTGGGACCTGAACGTGAGGACAGTCCTTCAGACTCAGTTCACCAAGGGCACCACCTCTCCCCTGTTGTAGCCTTCGTGGCTACTTGAGGGTGATGGTGCTCCTCCCGTGCCCACCTGGGGCAGGGGACTCCTTGATGAGTCCCCTGATCCCACTGATCACCAGGCCCTCTGGGTGCTGTTGGGTGGGAGACTTCTTCCAACTCCAGCCTCTTCCTGTTGTGACAAAGTTGCGGGGTGGGCAGCAGAACCTCTTCTTCCTTCTTTCTATCCTGAAAGAATCTTCCTTGTTTCTCTCCCCACCTCAGGACACCTAATGAAATTTCTCCAGTGAATTTAAAGCCATTGACTTCAAAATATTTTTATCCTACAATTTCTCTTTCAGAGCCTGGCTCTGTGCTAGAAATAGGGGTAGGGCTAGGCAACCCTGTCCTTATTTGGGAAAGTTGGAGCTCAACCCTCTTCCTTTCAAGGAACCTCTTTCTAGATGCTCCAGGGTGAGCCCTGCTTACACTATGAGCGAGTTCCACCATCTGGGGCTCCCCTGGAAGTGGCCCATTTTAAAGGATCTCGATTTCTCACCCTGAGATTCTCAGGAATGAGATAGGTGAGAGCTGCTGGGGTTTCATTCATTCCCTCCTTCACCCTTTTATCAGAACACATGCTCTAATTGCCTGGGGCCCACATGATACCTGTTGACCACAGACCTCTGCTCAGAGACCAGGAGCCCAAAGGCCCTTCATCTGCCATGGCTGGGAACAGGACAGCAGGGAGAAGAGCACAAGGCCCCGGAGCACTTTCCAGCATCTTGTGTCTTCTGCCGGATTCTCAGAAACAAGGCAGAGGAGGAGTCCCTGGCTCAAAATGGGAAACGGGAGCCCTGCATCCTCGGTAAAGAAGGCTGAAAGACAGAGGGCCTTCTTTTCACCCAGGCTGAGGACCAGCTGCAATGGCCTCTTGGATGGCAGCATTGCCAGGGCCTCTCCCGACCTCTCCCCGAGTCAGGTTTGCCCTCTCTGTTGCCTTGGCCTCTTGAACCAAAGCTCTCCATCCAGAAATCTAATTTCACAAGGAAAGGGACACTCCACCCCCTCCAGGCACATTCCTTATGGCATGTCCCATTAGTCACAAGGATCCATGAGCCCACAGTGAATTCTGACCTTCGCTGACCAGCGACACACCCTTCCCCTTACATTCCACGGGGAGACAATTCCATACATATTCATCGAGTTTCTTTCAAGGGGAATACAAAGAAGCTCCTGTGTGGCCCTGTAATGGACATTTTTATTCTCGATTTCTGATGGAAATCAAGACCCAGGATCAGGCTCAGATCAGGACCCAGTCCGATATGCCATCCCCTCTGGGTTCTTTATTAGAGAACTAGTCTCCCACAAGAGCCCTGATCCTGGCTTCCTGCATCCTCACAAGCACCCAAGCAGGTCTCCAGGCATGGTCAGGAACTGTGGGGAATCAAGACCCAGAGCCGTGGGGTCAGCCAGGACTGATTCGTGAAGCAGAAAACGTTTATACTCACTCTCTCCCGACATAAAACCTGCAGGGTGGGGACCTGATGCCACCAGCTGCTTTGTCCACCATATTATAATGGAAGGCAGGAAAATTAATTCTAATTTTAATATTTCTTCTTTCAATCAATCCTCCAACATACAAATATATATTTGCCCTGGAGGCCCATGCTGTCTAAAACTACCTTTTTATTATATCTTTCCTTTATAGAGCATGAAATAAAACATGAAAAATTTATAAGAGTTCCCAAATCCTGTCAGCACTTAATAACTGTTGGCTGTCTTTCATTCATTCATTCATTTTAAAATATTTTCTGAACACCTACTATGTGTCAGGCACTGTTTTAGAAATGGAGTAACAGAGAAAAGAAAGTTTTTGACCATGGACTTTACTTCCTAATGGGAGACAGAGACAATAAACAGTTTGTATCTCATGGGTTAACTCATTTAGGAGCACTTCGGTGAAATGGAGTCTCTGTTCCTGTTTTAGAGATATGGAAACTGAGGTTTAAATGGATCATGACTTGTCCAAGAGCATACAGCTATAAAGTTCTGGCTGGTTGAAATAGGGTTGTCTTTATTGGCCTTACTTGGAAAGGTATGGACTTTTGAGGAAGCAGGCGAAAACCATTAAGTGTACCGATCACCTGTATTAGCTGGTCCCAAGGATATTTGCATTTTAAATAAGCAAGCCTCAATATTTATCCCAAAGGAGTGAAATTCTCAAGGTGGAACATCAGGCACCAGAAATCAGCTAGTGAGGCAATTGATTTTTTCCCCTTTCTCTTTTTGCACTCCTTAAAGACATTCCACAGGTTGGTTCTAATTGGCTGCACCTTACATTTTTCCAGCCAACCCATCAGGGACTAACTGCTTCCTACATCCATCAGCTATGGGAGAACAACCAAAGAAAATAAACAGAGGAAGAGCCTCAGGCATTAGCCACTCCACAAGAAATCCCAGGGCCCCTAGATAAATGGAGCAAAGACAAACATTCAGTGATTCAGGCTCAGATGGTTTTGATCAGACAGCCCAGCCCCCGGTGGGGAGGCCTGATGGACTCTTCCACCCCAGGGATTAGGCTCCCCTCCCACTGATAAGCCCACTGCTGAATTCACAGGAGCCTCAGCTCCTGCCTGGGGGATTCTGGCTGTTCTCATGTGAAAGATGCAGTTAGTTTTCAGGCCTTTGAGTCTGGAAACCCCTGCCTTCCCCACACTCCCAAGCTGGCAGTGGGAGTGCGGGTGATTTCCTGTGGGAAGCCCCTCGGAAGGCTCCTCCTTGCATTTGCATTGAGAGCATCCTTGAGCAAAGTAGCCCCCCACCCAACCTTCCAGCCAGAGAAGTGCGAGGGCCAGAACAGCTCCGGGCTTCCCCACGGCAGTGGATGGAGGTGGATGGAGGAGCTGCTTCCAAGCTCCCCACATGCCCGAGGCTTCTGGAAGCTCTTTCTGTGCCTCCTTTCTTAATCCACTCAGAAGAATGCACCATTGTATACTCTAGGGGGTGATGTGGAGCAATGAACTGAGAACTTATTGTAGGGTAAGCTAGTAGAAAAAAGTAAGATCAAATAAGATCGAGTACCTATTGTCAAATTGTAATATTTTTAAACCAAACAAGTTTTTCAACACACTAAAATATGATTTTTTTTTTTTTTTGGTATTTTGGATTGAACTCAGGGGCACTTAACCACTAAGCCACATCCCCCCAGCCCATTTTATATTTTATGTAGAGACAGGGTCTCACTAAGTTGCTTAGGGCCTTGCTAAGTGGCTGAGGCTGGCTTTGAACTTGCAATCCTTCTGCCTCAGCCTCCCAATCCTCCTGGGATTATAGGTGAGGGCCACAGCCCCTGGTTTAAAATATGTATCTTATCAATGGATCTAGAAGAGGCATGAAGCAATGGAAAGTATCCTTAAGGGAGACCAGAGTGAGTTCACATTCACTTAGTAGCTGCAGCTTAGACACATCACCGCAACTCACTGATTCTTGTTTTTTTTTCATCATGAAATGAGAAAGGAGACACACGTCTCAGAAGACAGAGGTTATGTTATAAGGACTAAGGGACAATAAATGAAGCTCCTAGTATTGTGTCTGGCTCATGGTTGATATTTTAATAAATGTTTCCTCCTCTCACTGATGGACCAATGTTCATCCCTGACCATCCCTTCTCTGGAGACACACAAGTGGGCCCAAGGCTCTGTATCTTGAAAAGAGAGAAGTGTTTGGGAGAGAAGGCCAGGATTCTGAACCCTGATCTAAGAATGATGATCTTACCAGTTAGACTTGCCAGGGCAAGTCAATGTATCTTAAGGTTCTCTTGAACCCTGTTTAAAACACTCAAATGGTTTCTCTCTGCAATAGGAACAAAATCCCATCTTCACTGTGATCTGGTCCTTGTTTATTTATTCTGACTCTCTGTGCTCCAGTTTTCTCATCCCAGGGCTTTTACAGAATGGTGGCCTCACTGGGAATACTCTTCCCCAGATAGCCCCGGGGCCCAGTCCTTTCTCATTTAGGTTGCAATTTAAAGGCCCACGCCTGTAATCCCAGTGGCTCAGGAAGCTGAGGCAGGAGGATCAAAGCCAGCCTCAGCAAAAACGAGGCGCTAAGCAACTCCGTGAGACCTTGTCTCTAGAAATAAAATACAAAATAGGGCTGGGGATGGGGCTCAGTGGTCAAGTGCCCCATAGTTCAATCCCCCCTTACCAAAAAAAAAAAAAAAGGCCATTTTATTCTATATCATATTGTACTAATATCTACCAGATGTTTTCCTTTTTTAGTATATCTGTTTATTATTGCTTCCCCCTCAAAGGTAAGGTCCACGAGTGAATGCCTGTGTTGTTCACCAACACCAGAACAGTGCCCAGTTCACCAATACAAATTTACCACATACTCAGTATAGATTTGCTGAATGAAAAAAAATGACGGGGAACCGGAGACGACTCCATTGGAGGAGCTCAGCCCACAGGATAATTTGTCACCTGTGCCGCCTGTGGCCCAGACTTTTGCCAGTTACCTATAATCCATTAGCCACTACAAGATATTAGTCACCCAATGGTAGGTAACTTGCCCCATCCTTCATCACAGTGGATACAACTGAAAATGACCTTTTATTTAATGTCACCCACTAGATAGTGATCTAGCCTAGAGAGGAAGTCGTTTCTACCTTGCCCATCCTTGCACCCCTAGTGTCCAGGAAGGTGCCTGGCTAAGACTACAGGGAATCTACCCACCCAAAGCATCCCTGAAGCTCAGCAGGGCAGGCCTTGGAATCCCGCCTCTTGGAGACACAATGGGAACCCCACATTCCTCCTAAAGATTTGCTGCCTGGGCCCAGTGTCCTCTCTCCCAAGGCCAAGTTGCTTCCTGCCTCAACATGTCTCATATCCTTCCTTCAGATTCCCCACGTTTGGAGAAGCAGGGTCTGCCCCTCCCACTTCCTCTCCTCCCTGCCATCCCTATCTCCCCTGGGAAGCCTTTGACCAGAAAATGAAAAGATATGATCAAAGCTGTGCCTGAGCAGGAAGTCCAAGCAGGATGAATGGCACAGCCCCCCACCTCTGAGGCTGACGCAGGCCAGGGCTAAACTGAGAGGGCCATTGTGTGCAGCACAGAGAGAAGACCATGCCCTGAGCCTGCCCACCCAGGTCAGGCAGTTCGAGGGCACATGGGCCAGGAATGGGGTTTGCCAGCCTGGAGGGCTTTGCTGTACTGACTACTCCCTTCACCTCCCCAACCCCAAGGGCAAGACCCACAGAGAACTCCCCAGGTCTGCAGGAGGTGCTGGGGCAAGAGCTCAGTTCCAGGGACCTACACACAAATAAGACTTTTTGTCGGTATCAAAATTCTGAATTTCAAACAGATGCTTGGGCTGCTGGCTCATGTCCATTGGCTTGTTCAACCTCAGCTGCTGTCTCATCTCCAGGAATTTTTCCAGAACTACTACCTTCACCATGAAGCTCCGTGAGTTTTCTACTTCAAACGGGGCTTCATTAGCATTTGTACTTTTCTAACAAAGACATCATGAAGAAGATGTTGAGGACGATAAGAGATGGGCAAGCCTTTTCTTACTCTTTCCAATGTTTTCTGGATTCTTTTTATTGATCCCTTCTTAGGCATTTGTCTGTACTCCTCTGGTCATGAATCCCATCATCTCCAGGATCTTCTGAACATGTAGCCCAGGCCAAAGCATAAGAGGTTTTCTGCACATGATTGTTGGCTGATTTTTCTTTTATTTTTCTTTTGTCAGTCCTGGGGACAGAACCCAGGGCCTCATGCATGCTAAATAAATGCTCTACCACTGAGCTACATCCTTAGCCCAGGCTATATTTTTAAGTAATATAACAACACAGAGCTGATGAAGCAAATAACCTTCATAGTTTTGACATCAATGTTAGCTTCAATTATAGTCTGCCACTTTTTGACCATGGGGCACATTTTGTCCTCAGTAAGATTCATGCTAATGAAAATGAGTTAGGCAGCTTTTGCTATAAACACTCTCAATAATTAGCTTGAATTTTCTACATGCATCATCATCATTCTGCAGATCAATAAGGCTCACCTCAAACACAGAACCCCTGAGGCCATCAGATGCTGTTTTGGTTCCTTGAATCCTTATGACTAGTGTTTTTCCAATGTTTCTTAGATCGGACATAGCAGGTGCCATCATACCAATCTTTCTTAGAAAATGGATCCAGCACTTTCTTCTTGGCTTCACTTTTGCTGCCTCCTCTAAGGCGTTTGTTCTGGCCAACCACTGTGGTGCTGCTCAGAGACCCAAAAATGTGAAAATGAAACTCTCATGAGAATTTAGACCTATGGGATGGGTGCACAAGGGGTGCAAGTCTAAATAGTGTGGCCATTTGCCCAAAAGGTGGTATTTAAGTGAAGGGCTTTGAGCCAAGAAGGAGTAGAATTTGACTTATATTTTAATGTTATCAGTCTGGATGTTGGAAATAGACTGTAAAAGGCAAGAGAATAATGGGAAGACCAGAACAATTCAAGTGAGAGGCAGTAGAGATGCATTAAGGTGCTGTTACTGAAAACTTGATAGTTTAAAGCAATGCCTAGTTATCATCTTCTAGTTCAGAAGCAGGAAGTGTGAAATAGGTTTCAAAGAGCCAAAACTTAAGTATTGGTGGGACTGCGCTCCCTCCAGAGGCTCTAAGGACAATCCGTTTGACTTTCCCAGAGCTTTATTTGTTGCATTCCTTAACTCGGCCCCTTCCTCCATCTTCAATGGTGTAGCATCTTCAAAACTCTCTCTGCCCCATGTTCACATTATCTTCTCCTGTGTCACATTTCTCTCTCCCTCCCTCTTACAAGGATACTTATTATTTATTGCCCTTAGGGACTGCCCATATGACCCAGGATAATCTCAAGATTCTTGGTTAAATCACATCTGCAAAGTCTCTTTTGCTATATAAGGTCATAGGTTCCAGAGATTAGGACCTGGGTCTCTTTGGGGGTCATTATCCAGCTACCAGAGGAGGAATGAGCAGTCTTATATTTTGTTTTAAGATAGAGTTAATTGGATTATATTAGGGACTGAATGTAGGATGTGGGAGAAAGAGAGGAAATAAGGAAAATGCCAAGGTCTTTGCTCTGAGCGGTTATAAGAAATGAAAAAGGGCTCTAGGAAAAGCATTTCCTTGGGGAGAGCTGTCTATTTACTTGTGTTAGCAGGTCCACAAGCTCATGGGCCTATGAAGTTTGAGATACCCCAGCCAAGTGGCATGTTGCGAAGACAGCAGCTGTCACATGAGTCTAAAGTTCAGGAAAGAAGTCTACGCTGGAAATATTAATTTGAGAGCCTTTAGTGTGTCTCTAAAGCTTTGAAATGGAATGAAATCATTAAGGGTGTGAGTGTTGACAGAAAAAGAAAGAGGGCCAAGGACTGAGGTCTGGTGGAGTCCAGTGATTCAAGGTCAGAGGGAGGAGGAGGAATCAACACAGGGAGGCCAAAAAGGAGCTGCCAGGAAGGGGAGGAGGATGCTCAGGAGAGGGCAGTGGTGTCTGGAGGCCTGGTGAAGACAGAGGTGGGGGTGGAACAGATCTCTGAGCCCCCGAGAGAGGTGGGCGTCAATGAGGGCACCTTTCACCCACCCCAGCACCTAGCGCCCCTGTTCCTCCAGCATGAAAATGAAGCCCATGCCTCACTGTCTGGCCAAAGGAGCAGGCTTGCAGCTCTGCAGAGAAGCTGCTAAAACCTAGGGGTCTTTTTTCATGAACCCTGTCTCCCTCACCCATCTGTGACTCCTAGGGGCAAGTCTGCCACCTGTTTCTAGAAACGAGAAACATCTCAGGCAGCTAGGTCTCCATCTGCTTGCCACCCACAGAGCATCCTGGCACAATTATTCATTGAGTGTCAGGTCATTAGGTCCTGAGTGGAGAGAAGTAGCTGGGTGGATGTCACATACAGGGCAAGTTCCCCCATGAGGACTCAATGCCATCCTGAGCTGTTATCTTTGAGCTTTAAACTGAAATGCTCACTTTAAATAGCCCTGTTATCACATGTACCGTTTATCAAACATCTCAGAATCAGCAGGAAGGCAGATCCTACATCATGCAACCTACACCCCATCATCTACCTAAGCGGGCAGTTTAGGAACCTCCAGGTATGTCCTTTGGATGGATGCCCTCTCTTCTCTCCTCCCCTCTCTCCCCTCCCTCTTCTCTCTTTTCTGTCTCTTTGTCATGCCAGTTTTTCCAGAGTTTTAATTTAGTAAGTAAACCACGGACTCTCAAATCTGGTTGCACACTGCAATCACCTGGAGATTTCTAAAAAATACTGACCCTGGGTCCAATTTTGAGAGATTCTAGTTTATTCTCTTGGGTGTGAGGTGTGCATGGGGATTTTTTTAAGTTCCTCAGATGTCTCTAATGTGCAGTCAAGTTTGAGAATCAGTTACTGCATAGTGAATCCCAGTGCAGTATTCTAAAAGCAATGGCAAGAGAAGCTGAAGCCTCCTCCAACTCCCTGCCCTGGCTCTCCCTAACATTCCTGGCCTATAGGACAAAAGATCTGATGCCAATTTGCCCGATCTGAATACCTCCAACAGATGCAGTGTGTGGTAGGATGCTCTGTATCTTCCAACTGGCAGAGGTGGCAGGGCTCTGATATTCCACACCTCACTTGTAACTTCTCTCCACAGCTTCCCTCCTCGGGTACTCAAAGCCTTATTTCAGCAACATCAAAGTTCCAGTTGCAATTCTAGGTCCAGTTGTGAGCAATGGGGAAAGCCACCAAAAGTGGATGGAAAAAACCCAAGGATATGGGCACGCACACACCATCCCATAAATCAGTCCTACAAATGGAAATCAGTGGGTAGGAAGATCTTCTAGTAGAGGAGAATGGGTTATGATGTTCCAGAATGTCTGGTTTTGTGGTTTGAAGAATTATGGGGGGGAAATCTGGGTCTCTTCCCGTCAGAGCAGATCTTGCTCAATAAGCTACACTGCCTAGAAGCAACTCGTGTCCTCATCCCCTCCACCATCTGGGATCCATAATTGGCAAGATCTAAACAGTAATACGCTGATCCAAGTCTGTCAAATGCCATCATGTCCAGGCTCTTTGAAAATAAAAATTGGCACCAATTTCCAGGAAGCCTCTTGGTAATATGTTTCAAGACCTTGAAATAGGTCCAGTTCATTTCCTTTTATGCAATTATCTTATTCCTTATCCTAAGGAAATAATCAGAGATGTGATAAAAGATTTATGTATAACGATCTTCATCAAAGTGTTATGTACAATTGCAAAAAAGAATCAGAAGTAACTGTATACTTCCCACAATTTAGGGCTGGTTTCATATACCATGGAGTGTCTTGCTGCAGCAGACAATGAAATATATAGATTGTTAACACTTGTTTTCAAATAATTTTTATTCATGTGAGAAAATGCTCACAATATAATAATACATGAAAAAATGCAGATAAAATGATTCCTTTTGCATGAGAATCCCACTGTGGATATAGACACCTACCTGTAGAGAGGGAAACACTAGGCAGAAATACACTAACATGTTAACAGTAACCACCTAAATATCTCATTCCCCCCTGCTCCCGCCACCCTGGATCTTCTAAGATTGTATTGCATCCATAGTCAGAAAGACAAAGTAAAAATATTATTATTTTTTCAATGAAATGAGGGGTTTATTTCTTATTAAGTGATTCTACCACAGTGATCTCAGAAGTGACCCCAGTAATAGTCATGACCATCCTGTCTGTATGTGTGCACACAGTGATACATTCATTCCAAGACCCCCTCTGCTTGGGCTGCCCTGGGTCCCACAGCAGCTTTCAAATGGGTAGGCGAGGGGAGTGCTCTAGTCCCTCTCATGAGCCCAGCTGAGGACTGACAGCTCCTTGCTGGACATAGGGTGTCTACTGGGTGAGAAGTATATGTCATTCATGTTTTTCTGCACCATTATGAACTCAACAGGAACCTCAGGAATTGCAGAGGTCTTGTCTGGACACGCAAGTATTTATTAAGGATCTTCTGGGTGCCAGGCAATGTTCCCACTCATTCTGCTAACACTATACTGGTTGTCACTTAAAGTTGCTGACTGGTGGGGCTGAGGCGGCAAGTTGGGGATTAAAGTTTGAAGTTTTGCTTGGAAGAATAGAAGTCACTTGGTCAGGGGTTGGGGACATGGTTTTCACCAAAGTGTTGTCTTTCTCTTTCTCAGATGGAGGTCATAGTTGGGGACTTTGGGATTGTGGTGGTGCCTCGGGATGCTGCTGACACAGATCGAATCATGAATCACTCCTCAATACTCCGCAAATATAAAGTGAGTCCTCTCCCTCCCTGCTGGTATATCTCTGTGATGTGGCCCTTCCCCAGGGAGGAATGGAGGGGGCTGGCAACCTGCTGTTTCTGCTCTATCCCCAGAACAACATCATGGTGGTGAAGGATGACATCAACCATCCCATGTCTGTTGTCAGTTCAACCAAGAGCAGGTACGTGTGACACGTGGTCAGACAGACTTTGGTCAAATTGGCTTCCAAGTGTCCGTACAACTTTCCTCAGTCAAATGAAACCCTTCAATTCATGTGGACACTTGCTGCCTCAGCATTCAGCCCTCTTTTGGATCTCATCTGCCCCCAGCCATTTACTTTTATAAGAGGGCGTAGTACATTAGGTAGTCTTAGCTAGTTTGAGAGGAGAGGAGGATTCTTGGTTGGAGGTGCCCAAGAAATAAGATATTGATAACGATATAGATGAAGCTGCCATAAAACCAATATTCAGAGTTCTAAATAAGGTAGATGTTTAGTTTCCTCTTCTGGAAATCCAAAGGGATTGGGTCTCTGGTCTCTTCACATGGAGCTTCCAGGTCTGGTCCGCAGCTGCCATGATGACTTTTCTCAGCCACTGGGCAAGAGCAAGGTGAGGCCCAAGGCAAGAAGTTGACTCAGAGCAGCACATACAACTGCCTTTGCATCCCACAGGCTCAGAGATGGAGGGAGGCTAGGAAACAGCCTTATCCCTTGGCAGCCAAATGTCCAGATGCAATTCAGGGGCCTTTATTGACAACAAGGAAGGAAATAATAAATAATAGGGGCCAGTTAACAGTGTCTGCCATGAACCCTAAGTAGAAACATCCAGTGAGAGGGCGAGACGTAGCCTAGAGAGGTCTGGAAATGTCAATCGAGCATATGTGTGTTCATTGAAATTCTGGATATAGATGAGCTCACAGAGAGGGTCAAGAAGAGAAGGAGCTGGGTACATTGGCGCATGCCTGTAACCCCAGCTACTTGGGAGATTGAGGCAGGAGGATCACAGGACCCTGTCTCAAAATATTAAAATGGCTGGAGTCATAGCTCAGTGGTAGAGCACCAGGCCCTGGGGTCCAACCCCAGTATCACAAGAAGATGTCATCACAGTGGGGGAGGATTTGCAAAGACAAGAGGGCTCTTCCCAATGTGGACCCAAGGGAAGCCTGGGGATGTGGTTTTGGACTATCAACCCTTTTCCTGAGAGACAGGCCAGGCTGGTGTTCCCGACGTAATCCAGGTATGAATGTCATCTGGTTGCTATCTCTCCTCATGCAGGCTGGCCCTGCAGCATGGGGACGGCCATGTTGTGGATTACCTGTCCCAGCCAGTCATCGACTACATTCTCAAGAGCCAGCTGTACATCAACGCCTCTGGCTAGCAGCCGCACAGCTCTCTGCTCCACCCTCCCCTCGTCCTCTACGACACACGGGCCCCACCAGTCTCTGTCAGTCCCCTGGTTTCTCTCCTGCCTCTCTGTTTCTCTGCATTTTCATTTTGACTGTTCTCCGCACTCGCTGACTTAACCCCCCACAGTGTGGGGGACCTGCAAAGAACCATGGCATTCCCAAGTCCACCATCTTTGGACTAACTTTCCTCTAGTCTCTGGGTTGGGGGTGGGTGAGGGGAAAGGGTGGGAGTTGGGGGAAGTGCAGTCCTTGGAGATGTACTGGCGTCTGTCTCCCAGCATGCTCTAGAGAGGCGGCTCTGGTGCCCATCCTCCCAGCATGCTCTGGGGAGGCGGCTCTGGTGCCCATCCTCCCAGCATGCTCTGGGGAGGCGGCTCTGGTGCCCATCCTCCCAGCATGCTCTGGGGAGGCGGCTCTGGCTCTCTCCTTCCCAGCATGCCCTTTACCACAAAGGGCTCATTTTCTTTCTTTTTATTGATTTATTTTTCTTCGTTGACTTCTTGTAGAACTTGGATGAAATCAGTGTCTATGGTTCTTTATGTTTGTAGTCTTGATACAATCCCGCGGTATTACTTCCCTTTTGATAGGACACTATAGCCAGCCTCAGCACTCAGTGAGTGCACGGAGGGCCACATCCAGTAGAGAAGACTGAGCCACCTCCGCTTCTCCAAAACACACACACACACACACACACACACACACACACACACACTAACAGCAGCAGCAGCAGCCGCCTTTGGTCTAGAGTGAGACTTTCAGGTTCTAAAACCTGGGAGCCAAGGCTGGGAATAGTGGGGGTTTTCAGAACTTAAGTCTATTCCTTATTTTCAGACCATTTTCCTGATGGTCTTCTCACTTCCCAATGGCATCTGTACATTGACTTATGTGAGCTGTGGCCGATGGCACTATGTGGGTTCTCTGCCAGCCCAGGCATTTCCAAAGAACCTTCAGAACCACTTAAGCCCTCGGAGACCATGCTTAGACATGTTCCTGCATCTGAGAAGAATCACACAGGCAAGGCCAAATCCTGATAATCCAGTCATTTCTTTAAAAAAAAGAATGCTAGGAATTCCTTCAACTGTAGAGATCTTTGCTAATTGGAATTATTTATTACCCATTTGGCTGGGAACTCTTTCGTAATGTAAGTCCAGGATGACCTAGGGGAAAGCACTCTGTTACCCTGAGGGAATTCAGTGATTTTCACCTACTTCAGCTGAGGCCACCAGACCTGAGGCTCATTCCTTCCTGAGAAGCAGTACCTTGGCTTTATGTCTGGGCCTGGTCCTCTCTCCTGCAGAGCCCCACAGCTGCAGGTGCCACCTGAGGAAATCTGCCTGACACAGGAACAGGTTCTCAGAAGAGAGATCATGGAGCGATCAGGAGCCACTAAGCTATTTCCCCCTTTTCTCCCTAATTTCCCGCCTTCCTCTCTGCCCCTGGAAACAATTTTGACAGACTTGTTCAACACCTCACTCATGCCTGCTTAAAGAACTCAAAGGAAATCACACTCATGCTTTGTGTCTCTCATCCAGTCTCTAGCTCTGGGTTTCTCGTTGTCTTTGAGGAAGGGTCCCCAAGTATTGTATACTTTGATCCAAATCTATTCTGAGTTATGCCCCAGGTGGGACCTGAGTCTAGGGACATGTTTCATGTCTACAGTACCCTTCAGTTGCCTCCAAGAAAAGGAAATGGATTCCACAGAGGAATGTGACAGAGTGGCACCCAGAGGAGGTGTATTGCTCTTGAATTATGGAAATAACCTTCAAAGGAAGAAAGGGAAATATTGTTCATGTCTCTTGGGTTAGGAACCATGGAATGAGAAACTGAAAAAACAACAGAACTCATGTGCTCCAACACTTTCCTCTATAAGATGAGGACGCAGAGATCTATGGGATTGGTGCCTAGTCCAAGGTCACACGACAAGTGCAGAGCCTGATGAGAGGACGTCGACTCCTGACACAGACGAAAACATGGAGCTGAGTGTCCTGGGGTAGCATGGCATTTTCAAGGACCTGAAGTTTATGGACAGTTTACGAGGACGCACACGAGCAGACCTGAGAAAGACAGGATTCCTTTTGTTCCTTTGGTCCACTCTGTTATTCTGCTGGACTCTGGTCAAACCCCATCAAGTCGACAACTCAAAAGAAGGAACCAGGCTGACTCTGTACCCTCCGTGTGGGGGCAGGAGGACATGTGGGAATGGGAGGGAGAGTGAGATGCACCAAGGAAAAGAACAGGTACAGGAGAAGTAGATTTCTAGGAAGCAGATGGAGCAGGTTACATCTTGGTATGGCGCAGGGGTTGTGTTAAAAATCGCTTTCCTTTAATGAAAGCAAAGTGAATCCCCTTTCAGGTAGAATTGTCCATTCCCTACTCTGCTCTGTTCTTCCTTTGCTGGGGGAAGATCAGAGAACCTTTCTGAGGCCAGGACAGGACACTGTGACTGCAACCCAGTCACAGCCACCACCAGAAAGATGGAGTTTCAAGTGACACCCCAGGCATCGACAGGATAACTGCTAAACCCCCGACTTTCCTTCTAGGAGTGGTCCTTCCTATAAAGACCAACCCAAGGTACTATGGCATGGCTCAGAGATAGTGAGAAAGTCAGAGGCTGGATTAATCGTATCTAGAGGGATCTGGAGCCTCATTTCCTGCTATCAATCATCTGCGTCACTCACATGTTTCTGAAAGTGGCTGATGTCAGAACAGGCAGGAGGGAGACCATTTGTTTCAATGACTCTCTCCTCAAGGAATGGGCCCTTGGGGGCTCTGTGCTGCTAGCAGTCTCCTTAGTCTCATACTCCCCAGCCCCAGGCAGCCTCTGGGCTACTGGCTTTGGTTTTCCTTGAATGTACATCAGACCAGGAGGAAAGTCTCTTTCTGAAGTGCCTGCAACCAGAGATGGAGCTTCTAGAGACACTGATCTTCCTGTCTCAGATTGGCCCGCTTCCCCAGTGTGCTCTAAAAGCTCCAGCTTCTCAGACAGAATCAAAGAACTTGCCGGTGGAACGAGTAGAAAGTAAGACTCAATAATCAAATGACAGAAAAAGGCAGAGAATGACAGGGAGAAATTTGTACTACAACCCAAATCTGCTCTTCCCCAGATGGATATACAGACACATTTTTAGGGGACTAAGAGAGAAAAGCATGTTATCGTGTATGTTTTATTTACCAAAAGAGTAATGCAGAAACACAACCGTCAAGTATGAAAAGCTCAGGATCTCTCCCAAGGTTATGGCAGGAGAAGATGGGAACAAGGTGAGATGGGAAGGATGGAAACAGGGACTGATTTTGTAGCTCATAAAATTAGGACACCTTAGAAATAGCATCGTGGTGGTGATGATGCATCTGCCAAATTCACCCAGTCTGCACTTTCCCGTAGCTGCCCTGTAAACTAACTCTTCCTGTGGTTTCTTTGTCGCGTGAGTTTGGAGTGTCCGTTTCGTCTGCTCCAGTTGATAAGGAGTGAGGTGCAGCTCTTTCCCGCCACTTTCGATCTAGTCGCAGGCCCAGAGCTCAGCCCGATCCTCGTGGTCTTGAGGATTGGTATGGGGAGGAGGCAGCTTTTTTTTTTGGAATCACTTTTTGGTCATCTATCTGCCATTTTAAGGGTAAATTTTGCTTTATGGAAATCAAATCATCAATAAAAATTACATTCAAGTTGCAATACCATTTCCACAGTGAAATATTTTGAGTAAAATTTTGTTGCTAGAATAGTCATGGACAAGAGTTTTATCAGCAAAATGTTTCAATTATGTTAATAAATAAGACAATGCTACTGCTAGAGTCTTGTGTCTTGGTCTAGAACCTTCCCCTGTGTGTTGCTCTGAGAAGTAATCACTTTTTCTTTATAATCTTATTTGATGGGAGACAATAATTATAATAAGATATTTCCTGCCTGGTTCAGTTGATATTACACATGGCACAAATGCCTGTAATCCCCATGACTCAGGAGTCTGGGACAGGAGGATTGCAAGTTTGAGGATTGCAAGTTTGAAACTCTGTTTCAAAATAAAAAGGACTCGGCGGGGGGGGGGGGGGGGCTGGGGTTATGGCTCAGTGGTAGAGCGCTTGCCTAGCACAGGTGAAGCCCTGGGTTAGATCCTCAGCAGCACATAAAAAGATCAATAAATTAAATAAAGGCAGTGTGTCCATCTACAACTTAAGAAGAAGGAGGAGGAAGAGGAAGAGGTTCTGATGCTTTAAAAATAAAAAGGGCTGGGGATGGAGCTCAGTGATAGAGCACCCTTGAGTCATCTCTAATACCAAAAAAAGATAAAAAGAAAAGGGAGGAGGAGGAGGAGAAGTAGTATATAAAACCACACCCAAGGATAATAACAGGAAGAATAATTAGCAGACTTGTAAATCATGCCCAAGTTTTCTCAGTTTAAAAAAATAAAATGAAATCTTAGATCCTGATTAGCCCACATGGTCTAGGATTGTTTAAATTTGGTTCTTAAATGAAATCAGTACTTTATGAATTAAAAATATGTTATGAAAATTTAAAATGAATTTGGCCTGAAAGATCTTAACTAAGACAGAAATTATTATAATTTGGCAATGTAAGCAAATAAAAGTGAATAATTTGTTAATTGCTCAACCCTGTTGAAATTATTCATTCTTATTTCATCTTTAGTTGTACATCCTGTATTGGTTTTGGTCTAAATGGTGATTGGCACTGGCCAATCATCAGTGGTGATTTAGAGGGGAAATGGCCGTCCCCTCTTAGGCCAGCTCACTTCAGAGTCAGGAACTTGATTGTCAAAAAAAATTTTTTAATCACTTTGGTTCTTAGGGTTCCTTTTTCCCCTCTTAAATTGGGATTAGCTAGCTTTGTGTGGATCCATGTGGGTTTTGTGGCACATCTTAGTGATACTTGATATGCCTTGTAAATTGATTACTTGAGTTTATATTTGCTACTTTGTATAAACACTGCTTTTTTTCCCTGTCCTAAGAATGCGTAATGATGACAGCATGTTTAAAATTGAGTATAAATATTGGTTTAATTTGCTAACTTATACTAATTTTAAAATGTTTACACTAAGTATGAATTAACACACATATACATATGTATTTCTTTCCTTACGGTCCATAAGTATGCTTCAGATCTTTGGATCTCCTAAGAAGTTCTGTGTGGCCAACGCTACAAAGAAGGCAGAGGAAAAGTCTATTCGTTGTTTTCCATGTGCGGCAAGAACCCATAACATTCCTATGACCATGCAAAACACTAGGATATGATAAACATGTTCCTGGCCCTTGAGACTTGTTCCAAACACTGAACTGAGCTAAGCATCTTCTTACCATTTTGTCTAGCCTCCCCACGAGTGCTGGAAAGAAACCACTTCCTGGGATAAGATCAGAAACACATACACTAACAAGTTGTAATCTATAGGTGGTTTCATTTCTAACCCCCTCTCCTCTACTTTGAGCCATGGCTACTAATAGCACAGTCAATCAGAAAGCTGTCTGAGGAGAAATATGAGAAATGTTTCACTACAGGTTATATACTGATAAGAAATCCCTTAACTTGGCAGGGTCAGGCCAAGACTGGCAACCAGTGGCCAGGTCCTGGATAAGCTGCCTGTAAGCTACATCCTCTTCTTCTTCTTAGGGTCCATTTGTCAGGTCCTCAGAGATGAGGGAATCCCAAGAGTCACTTGTCCGTTCCCCAGTCTCTCCTGGGGGATCATGTCCCATTTGTCAGGAAAGACCTTCTTTTGACTTCCTGAACAATTCGTTGCATCCAGGAATCTTCTCCTGGTGGCCTGCAGCCTGGCTATTAACTCATGGGATTCTTCACCAGGATCCCTAGAATGTGGAGTCTAACTTAGGTACTTGGCAGAGACAGATAGTCCATCAATAATGTACTCTCCCCTTCATCATGTAGAATTATCCCTGAGAAATGCCTGGCCCACAGAACCTCCCACGTGCCCCTTTCCTCCGTGTTCTTTCTCTTCCGCCCAGCTAGAATGGTAACAACTCTGCCCCTCCCCAATGCAAAGGCAACCTCAGAAGTCACATGGTATTTCCTCTGAAATGACCATATGAAGTCCCACTCTGCCAGCCTGCTCCCTACCTGGTCTATCACAGGACAAAGGAAAAAATAGTGTATTCTGTTTAAGCTATTGCATTTCTTTAGCTCTTTGTGGCAGAGCAGTTAATCTACCCTAATTAATATAGACACATTTTCTGGGATTTAGTTAGTTACAAGAAATTTGTAGGATGTACGGTTGAGCAGGCCACGTCAGGATTATAAAGTCAGAGCAAAGTGATCAGATTTATCAGAATTTGGGGGTCAATGTGAACAGAAGCAGAATCCTTCCCTCACTCACGTGGGTAGATGGCCAAATTAACATCTTAATTTGTCGGATTTTAATTTATTAAGAACATGAGCTGTGTACCACTAACTACAATGTTCCTTTTATTTTAGAGTGGATGAAAGATGGCAAGAACATCAGTGACACCCTCAACCCAGACGCATTGTTCTAGAAATAAACCTCCATGCTTAGGATAGAGCATCCATAAGCTTCATCATGCTCTTGTGCTTGCAAAGGGCCAAATAAGATACTTGGAAATAGGACTTAAAGATGATAACTCTAGGACCCAGAGACATGTCGGTGGTATTTTCATTTCCATTGTTTTGGTTCTTTCAATCTCAGGCTCAGAGTTTAATAAAATTAGAAACTGATCTCAAGCATCTAATGATAATTCTTTATTTTAAAACAGTCCACAAACAACCAAGGAAATATGGAAGCGAGGCAGCGTGAAGGTCTCCTGGGTTGGGGTGGAAGCTTCTGGATTCTTGGGCAGTTCCCACCGGTGTTATGACTCAACAGTCCACTGTCATCAGCTGTGGAAAGGGGTGGATGGACGGCTGGAATGTGCAGCAGTGTGGACAACCCAGAGCCATTCCAGTTTCGTTCAAACTCAAGTGCCCCCATGGGAATGTCTTGTAACACATGTTCTGTTGAGTAGGAGGTTGCAAAACAAAGGGGTGACAGCAATAAATACCACTTGTGATGAGCAAGGTTCGTAAGTTTAAACTTACAAAGTTAAGACACTTGTCTTCCTCACTAGACGTTCAGCTCTGTGGGGCAGAGGCTATGTCAGAACTGAATCACCCACACTTGCACACAGTAGGAACTCAATAAATATACGTTGGAAGGATGGATGGAAGGATGGATTCTACCCAGCTCAAGAATAAGTAGGGATATTCTCTGTTAGAGAGAAAGGAAATAAAACACACAGAGGCATATAATTTCTAGTGTTTAAAAAGTAGGATTGAACTAGGACTAATAAAACTTCGAGATAATTTCACCTCTTTCAATGCCCAAATGACATTTTTCTCTCACTTTGAGATCCAAAAGTAAATACCTTCCCAATGTTTGCTTTGTTGGTAGGAGATGCTTTAATAAAAACATAGTCTCTAAGATGCCATGGCATCATTAAGAGAAAGAGTATCACTCCCAGGCCCAGGGTATGAGGGTGGCAGGTCACCAGCAGGCACCATTGCTCCAAACAGGCCAGCCTTGCAGGTCCTCAATCCATCACTGCTCACTTCTTCCAGCCTGAAAGTTGAGTCCTGCTCAGGTGCTGGGCGGTAAGTGGGAAGAACTCTGGTCAACAAGAAGCTTACGCGGACAGCACAAAGCAACAGTACTTCCCTGGTCACAGTGTGATAGGATCTCACTCTCTGCTCTCACATTAGGAAGGGTTTGATGCATGGGCCAAGTCAAAAATTTTTCCTTTAGTTGCATTACTTGCAGGACAAGATAACTATAATCCAGTGGCACTTGTCCAGATTCTAGGACTCAGTTTATGACTCTTCTGAGGCAAACACCTGCCTGTGCAGTTTTTCCTTCCAACCAGTCTACTCTTGGGTGCTGAGAGCCTTGATCAGTCTCAAACCCAGCGTTATTTGCCTCATTGCACAGGAAGCAAATAGTACATCCTGGTGCCACAAAATGTCTGCTTGGCCACAGTCTCAGGGATGGGGTCCGATTTAATTGACCTGCGCACACCCATTAAACATGTTCCAATATCCCCATCCCACCCCACCCACACAAGGAAGCTCCTGAGCCCTCAGATCTGTATCCCAGGAATCCCAGTTGAGAAGTCTCGGAGGTGTCTCACTGTTGCTCGAGAGCCTGGGTATTATAGCAGCCTGGGGGCAGGTTGTCCCTAATGTTTTCCAGGTTCTTCACGTCAGCCAGAATTCCATCTATGCTTGTCTCCAGCAAATGGAGGTGGCCCTTCTGTCGACGCGCCCTCTCCTCCAGCTCTGACATCAAGGGCCTCAGCTGGCTGTTGATCCGGGTCTTGGCACGGAAAAGCTCCTCCTCCAATAACATCAGTCGCTCTTCATCCACAGCATTAGGCTGGTCTATTTGAGGGAAGGAGAAAAGCTGCGGTGAGATCCCCTGGCATGAGATCTCTTGGCACTGGCATGAGAGCCGTTCTGCACTCTTAACAGATGCCTGTTTCCACCTGCCCAGAGCAAATAGTCTGCTATGCACTTTAAAGACTTATTTTTATTAGAAATGATCTAGAAAAAGTTTGAGGTAGTTATCTGTTAGGTAGAACGCAATAACGCTGTTCAATACTCTGGTACCGTAGCTCTGCAAAATGAAGTTTGGAGTTTTCCTTTCACATTAGGCTCAAAAGATCATGCTCTCAAAGATGAAGGCTGAAGGTCACAGGGTCTAAACATGATCCACGATATCTGCCTGCCACAGCTCACCCCTAGGATTAGAATCAACCCCAAATTCTGCTTTCGGA